AAGAAAAATAAGTCATCTCCCCAGAACAAGCACCTGAAACAAACCTTTTCTAAATAAAAATGTTCCTTTTCTTTCCTGCATTTACTCACAGTAAATAAGTAAATATGAACTACCCTCATTTTCATACTCTTCTTTCCTCTCTCTTTTTCTCATTGCAGATTCCTTTTCATCTTTACTCAAATCTACTTTCATTCTCACTTCCGTTTTCTCTCTTTGTCAGGCATTCATTCTTCCACTTATCAATTAGTTCACTCTCTAACTCACTCTGACATAGTGTCCCATCAACTATACAAAATTATGGCAATAGCATTTTTCCACAAGAGATGCTTCTACTTTTGCCATAAAGATTCTAAGCCTACTTAATCACTCAATTGTAAGGACACCCTAAAATTACCTCACCATAATGTAAGCAAATATATTCCAATTTATAAAGCAACAAAAAGGGGGGAAAAAGCCAACACTTATACCAAACATTAAACCTAGGTATAGGTTCATGCAAGGGATATCATCACTGAACTTAAAAACTGACCTATGACTAGTAAAACCTCAGATTATGGATATACCAGCAGCTACATGTTATCTTTATAACTGGATGATTTCCATTCTTTAGAGACTTACAGCAAAGTATGCTTGCACAAAGTTAAAAGACAGATTTCATATGAATTCAACCTAGATTTTTCTTCTTTCTGAAAACAGATAGCAAACACTGCACATAGAATGTTTTTGTGCATGCAAGAAAATCAAATCTTCAACAAATACATCGTTCAATATAGTCTGTTAGGAGATTGCACAACAAATATTGTACATAGAAATGAATTTCTAGAATACAAGCAAATTAATCAAATGAGTCAATAAAAGATATAAACAAAGACCAGTGACAATAGGGATAATGGCGGCAATAATGGCGACTATACAACACATCAAATTTTCCATCATCAAGCCAACTCTCATCTTTCTACTCTATGGAATATGAAAAAATATTCATGTTATTTTTCAACTCTGATAAATTCTAACCTCGTTACAGCTGCTTTGGAATATACAGCACTTTCAAATACTAAAAGTTAAGCTGCTCTTGATAATGGAAAACTCTGAAGAATAAAGCTTTTAAATCAGAAAGAGGACACCTACCTATTTGGATCTTCCCTATACTTTGTAGGGACTTCAAAGTAGGAATCTGGAATATCGTCTCTAAATGCAAATTCTTGGAATGTGATTTTTGCTGAGACTGTTGGTAAGATTGGGATATCTGGAAAGTGATGACACATGTTAATCTAGCTTTTATATCACACCATCTACATTCTATTTCCTTCTTGATAGTAGAGACCACATCATGGGCTACAAATCTTATCTTAAATACCATAGTTTCCCACTGACCCCAAGCCGGCAGTAAAATGTAGTGTTTACTATACTAATGTTATGTGAAAATTCTCTATACAGAGATGGGTCCACAAGTGCTAGTGACTTCTCATGATTTCATTTGAGTTTTTGAGAAAAATAGTTTTTCATTACTTTTGCTATCAACATCAATCTTCTCTCATTATAACTAACATTATAATCATATCTATCATAATTTTATTGAAAATACTAATAACAATAAGAAATAAAAGAAAAATAGTTCTGTAAACCAATGAATAGATTAAATAGGCATGATAGGTAGTTGTCTACAAGTAATAGATTCATTGGTGTATAGACAATTCATAAACTAAAACAATAGTGGACATGGCATAATATATATATATATATATATAATATATATATATATATATATATATATATATATATATATATATATATATATATATATACATATGCACATTTTCAATAAAATTATATAAAATTTGTTTGACCATACAGTGACAGGGCCTGATTTATTTGTGATGAAATATTAAACAACAATCTAGATTTTGTGGCGAGGTCTAAGCTGTGTACAGCCAGCCCACCTGGCTGTGAGTCATGACACGCTTCCACGTCATAGGCTGTTATGTCATGACGGCTATAGCTGTGTCCGTCAATGAAGAGGTAATAGTAATTATCAATATTCATCTGAATCTCTTCTGTATCATCTAAAACTTTCACGACTAAAAATTGCAAATCTTTACCAATTTTGACTGGGAAACCTGAGGGGAGTTTCATCTGGACAAATTCCCTCAGTTTTGCAAAGTGCTTGAAGGGAGCAATAACTTCCAAGACATTCAAGAGCATCTCAACTGTAAGTGGGAATTCTTCACTCTGTAAGGAAGGAAAAATATTTTTTTTTTTATAAACATTGCATTTTCTGCTTGTTTCATTTCAATCATTCTCATTAGTAGTTAATAATCTTTATAATTCTATCTAAAACAATCAAAAAGATAGTGAAACAATATCAATAATCGTAGAAATAGTTATACCAATAATAACAGGCTACACAATTACAGCACCCAAACACAAAAATAAATACAGCAAGGATTATATATGAAACATACCATTGCTACTGTAGCTTTAAAGGACTTTGAAGACTCCTTGCAAATGAGCATTCTTCCTAGTGGAGGTGGTTTCCCTGCTTCTGCTTCAATATACGTCTCCCAAGACACAGGTTCATTTGTGGGGGGTTCTAAAGATGCTCGTCTGACAGTCTGTGAATAGTACAAGTCGTTATAGTCTCTTTATCCTTTCAGATATTAAAAGATAACAAGGATGATTCTACCAAGGCACATGTAGCCAATTTGAAAAAGCAAAATATAGGAGTAAGATATTGAGGATGCATGTTTGGGGGGGAGGGGTGATTAAAGTAAATTTCAATAATCATACTTGCAGGGGAATAAATAAACATACAATAATAAAAAAATAATAAAATAAAAGGATAGATCATAGAATCAAACCTCATCAAACGAGTGTGTTCCACTGCCTTTGGTGAAGCTCTCCATGATTGCTTTGTTTTTCTGCAGATCTTCCTCACTTAAATGTTCTCTTCTTTTCCGTGATTCTATTGTCAGCCCATTTAGGTAATAAAAATCAGCATTAAACTTGCCAACCATTTCCTGAAAATGATTCAATATATCAATAAGTACAATAACTATTGGAAAAAATTTCAATGGATATGTCTTTTTTTAGTCTACATATACAACACACAGACTATAGTTTGACTTTGGCAAAATGGATATAATATAACATTTCTTTTCCATCTCTATCGCTAATCAATTGATTCTTTTTTTCTTTATCTATTTGATATGAAATCAATCCAAATTTATAACACACAATTTTTCATTATTAGTTAACACAACCTTAGACTGGAAATTCAGGGTGAACCACCTATAAACATTCCTGCAGTATACAACTCTAAAAAATCTAGTTAACATGCTGTACCAGTCAATAACCTACTTTTTTGTCTGCTCTGAATATCCAGCCTGTCTGAGCTCTAGAAAAGGTGATCTGTTTTGTTGACATTTGTGCTGCCACAATATCCGAACTCATGAGAATGTCAACCTCGTCTTCCATTTCTGCCTCTGTTTCCTGTGTAGGGTAATAAAACATAGTTACTGATCTTAACCTCTTTACCATTTCCAAAGTTCCATCAACATTTTGGAACCATATTTTTTTTCTTTTTTTATTTAAACAATAAAACAAAATGTGTAACAAAACTAGGACTATTAAACCATTGGATCATGGTGACATGACCGTCATGTCACACAAAAATTTGTCTGAGTGCTAGGTGACAGGAACTTGCCATCATGAAAAAAATTGTCCGAGGGCCAAAATGACGGAAATTTGCTGTCATGAAGAATTTTACTATGAATTTTATCCTATTCCTGCCAACTATGACTGGCAGTGCAAGGTGTGTTACAGAAATCTGAATGATACAATAGTATGAAAAACAAACAAACACAATGTTACTTATAAATTCTTATTGTTACTGCACTGAGTTGTAGACTACCAACAGAGACAATATGGATTCTGACGGATACAAGAATATCTATGGATCATCACAGTCATATTATTTGCAAAAAAAAGAAAAAAAAAAAAAAAATGCAGAAAAAGACATGATAACATTGTAAATAGGAGACAAGGAATCTTGAGACCACATATGACTGTGCGGGCCTGGTCTACAAGCCACAAATCCAGGAGAGTCACAACTCAAGCAAGATTCCTGCCTGGGTTTTGCTCCATGAATGAAGCATCCAGATCCAATGAAAAACTCAAGTATACAGCCTAGTAATCATGATAATAATAATAATACTAATAAAAAGAAAAACAATATGTAATATGTAAATAAAATAAAATAATAAGTAATACTAATAATAAATATGTACAATAATAATAATAATAATAATAATAATAAAAAATAACAAATAACTAATTACAAAATAATTAATAATAATAATAATAACAGTAATAATAATAACAATAACAATGACAATAATGATAATAATAATTATAATCATAAACAAAAAAAAAAATAAATAATAAACAATAACAATAATAATACAACAATAATAATAATACTATATAACAGTAATAATGACAATAATGAAAATAATCATAACACACTAAAACTAATAAAAAAAAAAAATTATGGTTGGTCCCATATCCCAGTGGATGTAGGGGGACAAGTTCACGAGCAACATGTGTTCTAAGTCACGGAATGATGTGGTAGGGTGGCTGGTCCCTTGCCATCCCAGCTTTGATCCCAGCATGTTGATGTCAGCATGACAGTACTGACTCACAACTGAGTGAACTGAGAGGGGCAACCAGGCACAAATCTAGGACTTTGCAATTAGCCTACTAAGCTAGTGCTCTAACACTGAGCTATGCCACATCCCAACAATATATATAATAATAATATAATAAATAATAATAATAAATATAATAATAATAATAATAAAAAAGTAATAACTATAACCATAACAAAAATAAAAACAACTATGATGACAACAATAATAATAATAACAATCACAAGAATAAGAAGAAAAACAGCGAAAATAACAAAATCAATAACAGTTATCTTAATGAATAACCAAATGATATGGTCTAAGAATAGTAATAAGAGCTACAATCATTATGCAAAGAGCCTAAAAGTTTGTTATGTATTAGGGAAAAGAGCTGAAAAGATAATAACAATAAAAGCAACATAAATAAGGCTGACTGATAACACAATGAGAAAAAACAAAAGAAAGAGAGACAGAGAGAGAGAGGGATGAAAGTAAAAGTAAAAATAAGCAAATAACTATAAATATTCTTACTAACCTCATGCCGAATATTCTGATATACTTTAAGTTTGTTGTCAAGTACAGTTAGTGAGTGTGATGGTTTGGAACTGCCAGAAAACAAGAAGCTGATGTCTCCTCTCTCCCATCGCATATCATTAAAATCCACAAGCGTAGTGTCCAAGCGAATTGCGGCTCCCTTTTTGTGGATTTTACAAATATCGGACGGTAGCATCCTGGACACAAGCGGAACTGCAACACATTGTACACCGGTCTTAAGCATTTTTCTTTCTTTCTTTCTCTTTCTGATATGAAAGTAATGGACTGCTTTGAAAAGGAGAGTACCTAAAGAAATTTATTTGGTAAATGATATTCCGTAAATGATATGCAGAAATAAAAACTAAAAGAAAGGGGAGGTGGAAAAAAAAAAAAGGCATGTTTAATCTTGCTCACATTCCAGATATCCTTACAAGATCAATACATTGAAGACGTCTGCTACATAACCCTTTAATTAAAGCAATGTATGGGGGAAAAAATCAGTTTCTGGAATTCAATTGCAAAAGAAAAAAATAATATAATAACTGAAAAGGAAACTTTAAAATGCAATAGAAGAAAGGAAATGCCTAATACACCATGACCAAATCTAGACAAAAACAATCTGTCTAAACTAGTATAAGTGTTGCTTTTCAGCTAGGACCTACTAACAACAACCAAAGCAAACAAGTTGCCATGAAAGATCACACTTAATATATCCTTCTACTTTGAAAAACAAGATCAATGTATTAATATATAAATCCAATGCCCATAAAATAATCTGCACAGACAGTAACAAAAACACAATATCTTATATATTGGTTAAATTTCAATTACACATTATCTCAATATATCTACTGGTTAAATTATATAGACTACATCATACAAACAACAAAACTGGGGAAGGGAAAAAGAATGCAGGAGAAGTGGGAATCATACTTACCCCAACTCTGAAAATCCCATTTCAGCTCCATGTAAAAATCTCCCATTTGTGAAAGTGCTCTAACTAGGTCAGGTCTTCTGACTTCCATGTGTTCTCGAGACTGCTGTTTCAACTTCCGTAATAATACTGTGACTGGGAAAAAGAGGCGAGATACATGTCTTTAAATATATATTGTGTAAAAGATATTTGAAACATTATCATTAAACTAACAAGGAAAATTAAAGTACCTTCACACTTAGACAGAAACCATAAATATATATAGATGATTAAATGCTGAACTGTAAAATAATTACAACATCCCATAATTTAATTAGCATCCATTAAAATCTTCATTACCAATCTATTCAACACTTAATACCAACAGCCTAACAAAATGCCAAAAAAGTATATATATATATAATATGTTAATAATATTACACACAGACTTATCAATAACATCAGCTACTTACTAGTTTGTCTGTCTCCATAACTGATGGCTTCAGCCAGGGGACTCCAACCATTAGCATTTTTTACTTTGACTGGGGCACCGTGCGCTAGGAGTAGATGTATACATTCTGTGGAAGTGTATATCAGTATAAAAAATTAAGCAGTTTTATACATATACAATTATGTGTTGCGGAGATATATGATCAAAGTTACTAAGTTTTTTTTATAAAGGTATCCGGATAGCTTTCCAGATAATTATGTATCTACTACTAAAAAAAAATTGGGTAAATATACTTCAACTTTGTACATAGGCTAGTAATAATAACAAAATCCAGCAAACATTACACTACCTTTATGCCCCAACATAACAGCAAGGTGAAGAGGTGTATTTCCTGTGAGAAAGAGAGAAAAAGATGCAATCAATGTAAGCAAACCAATCAATGTCAATCAATCAATAACAAATAAAAATAACAATCCATAATCAAGAGCTAAACTATAAAAAATCTCATATAATGCTCCTTTTCTTCCTTAGAAAAACAAAATACACACAGGTACTTCCCCCACAAATCATGGAAAAATTGAAGTTTCTCAGTCTGTTTTCTGTCAATTTTTTTTTAATGCAAATATGGCTGAAAACTCTTTTCCTTTTTCATTCACTAGTCCTATTATATATTTCACCTTTCCTTCATTTTCTTCTTTTCCTTGATAAGTAGAGGGATAAATAAAAAGCAACATTGTCTCTATTGTGATAGTGGATCTATTGGGATATAGGAAAAACAAAATTTATATTATGAATCATTAGGAGTAATGTTTTAGAAAATACCATGAAAATGATGCTATCCCATTCCACTACACAACAATTCATCTGAATTTTATATATACATATCCATATGCATATGGATATATATGGATATATATGTGTATATATATTATATTATATCTATCTATATATATATATATATATATATATATATATATATATATATATATATATATATATATATATATATATATATATATATAATATATATATATTATATATTATATATATATATATATATATATATATATATATATATATATATATATATATATATATATATATATATATATATATATATAATATATATATATATATATATATATATATATATATATATATATATATATATATATACATATATATATATATATATATATATATATAAATATATATAATATACATATATTATATATATATATATATATATATATATTATAATATATATATATATATATATATATATAATATATACAGATATATAAATATAATATATGTATAAGAAAAAAAAAGAAAGAAAAGAAAAAAATATATATTATATATATATTATGTATATATATGTATATATATATATATATACT